TTTTTTTTTTTAATTATATAACCAGCTTCTCGGTTTGTATTGTGATGCTGTCGTTTGTATCTGCGTCGTTTGATGGTACCTTCGATTTCGATGGTGTGGTCATTTTTGGTGCCATGTATTATTGTTTCTTGGTGTTTTGCCGCTGCTTTGCCGTCCTTGTAGGTGGTTTTGTTTGTTTTCTCTGCATTTTTGGCATTTGTACGGGAGTCGTCATTTCTCTGGCGTTCGTGTGGGGTGGTCTTACTTGTTTCGAGCAGGTTGTCTTGCTTGTTTTATTAATACGATAAGTAGTTTTTTTTTTTTTTGGTTTTTATTCTTGTGTTTGCTAATTTTTTTTTTTTTTTGGTTTTAGGTTTCGTCTAGACATGGAATCACTCTTGGTAAGTTTTTTTTTTTTACTTTTTTCTTTAGTTTTTTTTTTTTTTTTTTATATATATAACCAGCTTCTTGTTTTGTATTATGATGCTGTCGTTTGTATCTGCGTCGTTTGATGGTGTCTTCGATTTTGATGGTGTGATCATTTTTTTTGGTGCAGTGTTTCAGCGTTTCTTGGTGTTTTGCCGCTGCTTCGGGCGTGCTATGTATCGTCGTTTCTTGGTGTTGTATGTTGCACCGTGTATAGTTGTTTCTTTGTGTTTTGCCGTTGCTTTGGTACAGTCGTTTCTTGGTTTATTCAGGATTAGAGTTAGGGTTCGGGTTTGTGTTAAGGTGCAGATGTTCGTCTTTTGTGTATTTTTTTTTTTTAGTTTTAGTGCGATCTGTTTTTTTTTTTTTTTTTAAAAAATGTTCGTCACTTTGTTTAGTTGTAATGCAATTAATTTGTCATCATATTTTTTTTTTTTTTTTTTTAATAATAAAAAAATAAATTTTTTTTATAAAATTTCAATTGATGCTGATTGGCCGATTACAAACGATTAATTACGTGTTCACATGATCGGTTTTGATTGGTCGATCACAGGAATGCACGACTGTGCAGGTGCACAGAATTCTTAAACCCTATTATATATTGTCAAAAATAATTTATTTCTAATAATAGGCTATTTTCTTTTTTTAGAAAAAAAATATAAAAACTTCTTGAATCTAAAAATAAATTATTTATAAAATTATTAGTAGTTATTTTATAGTAAAGTCAAAATTTTACTAAGTAAGTTGATTTATCTTATTAAATAAAAGTTGTTCAGAAGATTAAAATACATATATTTTAAAAATATTATATAAATCATATAACTTTTTATTAATTAACTTTTGATTTTTACATTTGACAAATATAAATTTTAAAAAAATTTTAAAAAATTTGTCAAATGTAATATATAAAAATATATTAATAAAAAGTTATCTAATTTAGATAAAACTTTTAGAATATATATATTTTAATCTTCTAAATAACTTTTACTTAATAAGATAAATTGATTTACTTAGTAAAATTTCGACTTTACTATAGAGTAACTACTAATAATTATATAAATAACTTATTTTTAGATCTAAGAAATTTTTGATTTTCTTCTAAAAAAAAAAAAAGCTTATTATTAGAAGTAGATTCTTTTGACAATATATAATATATATATATAATTCATTAAACTTAAACATATTCATGAACTTGAACTGAACTTGAACTGAACTAAAACTTTGAGTTTAGATTTAGTTTAAGTTCATAAATTTAAAATTCAGTTTAGATTTAGATTCAAAGATCTGCAAAATTTAAAGTTCAGATTTAATTAAACTTAAATCTGAAACTAAATTAAACTAAACTAAACTTCAGAACACTAGTTAGATCATAATAAATTTTATAAATAATTATAAGTACTTGTATACAAATTATAAGTTTAAATTATAAAGACCAATTTTTAAGGGTAGAGTATATGTTGATCATTTATCATATGATCTCAGTAGTACAACAGGATTTTATGCATAAATTAAAATATGTCACTAGTAAAAGTTCTCAAAACCATGGTTAACATACAAATCAAACCTTCTATTTATAGTAGTAAAACTTTCGTGAGCTATATTATTTTTAAAAAATAGACATACATATGTTATAAAGTTCCTGGGATTTCTCAAATTTGCCAGAGTTATACAAAAAAAAATATAGTAAAAATATTTTTTAAAACAGGTAATTACCCAATTAGATTTGTGTTTACTATATAATTTGTTACACAAAAAAATTTGCCATACAGATCATATAATAAATGATCTATGTATACTCTACCCTTAATTAACTAAATAAGAAAAACAATGTAGAATACTCTTTTTATTAGAAATTTAAATAATTTTTTTTTATACAAGATATTTATTATATATACTAAATAAATTAATTTGGAAAATTCTATTTTTATCTGAGTTAAAGTTACTTAATATATTATTAAAACTAATAATTTTAGTTATATAAATAATATATACAATAAATGCAACTCTTTCTAATAATCCTCTAGACAACATAACAAAAAAACCGAACTACAGAAAAATACTATAGGAAAGTCCAAGAATATACTATTTGCAGTCCTAACTTTGAGTAAGCAGTTGTCAACAAAGCCTATAGATATGAAACACCAAGAAGCAAGCATAACTTGGGTAGTTTTTCTTGGAGTCAAGCTTTTGTATTTTAGTAGACTCTTCAAGATATTTGGCATCCAAACCAAAAAGGTATTCTGAGAACTGAACTTACCTCTAAACAGATTGCTGTTGATAAAGCTTAAAAAATATAAATTACTGAGAAGTAGATATAACTTAAGTGGTTTTTCTTGAGGTTAAGCTTTCTTGTATTGTGGTAGACTTTTCAAGATATTCAGTATCTAAACTAGAAGGTTTATTCTAGAAGCAAGTAGTAGAATAGCTCTTGCTATAATAGTATAAGCTTGAAGATACAACTATATAACTATAAAACTTATAGAAGAACCTCACACACTCTTATTGACCACACTTTTTTTTGGGGTAAAATTTTGTAAAAAGTGGGTGATTCAGCTTACCCCTTTAAAAAATCGATGTATTGTTTACTTACCAAATTGGTAGCATTGTTTACATTTATTACTTGCCACAACAAATACGTAGATATAGAGATATAAATAACTAGATTATATGTTTCAAATGTGATAACCCAAACAAATGATGCTTCAAGCTCAACAATGTGAATTTCTGATCTCTTTACAGTACTGATATTGAAGAAGCTTTTCCTTTTTTTTTGTTTTTTTTAGGTTTTAAGTTTAGACATTCTATATATATAAATTAGTATAGAGAATAGTT